AAAAAAAAAACAGCCAGTTGCCACTATATCAATTGAAAGTTACATTTTTCGACTATTTTCTTTGACAAAATTCTTTGAGATAGGGCCAAGGATGAGGGAGGTCTTGTTGGTCTCCATCTCCCGCTACGCTCTCGCCTGTGTCCGACCTTTCAGACATTTCAGCATCTTTTTCTGAATCCGACATGGTAGCATGGCATAGACAATTCACGTTTGCAGTTTGAAGAACACCTGCTTGCTTCTGATGATTTCCTTTAGCTAACCAATGAGTGTTTGCGTTATATGACTCATCCAATTACACTAGTTTTCACTAGATGTGGATGGAGCCAATGATCTACATTGGATGGCGCACATGAATTGACATAAATATTTATAAACATTAAACTGAAGCCAAGAGTAACGAATAACGTTTGTTTTAAAAATGTAAGGAATAGAAAGTACAGATACTTGTGTGAAAATGTAATGAGTAGGAGTCAGAAGTAGGAAGAGAAATAAGTAATGGAGTAAAGTATAGTATAAAGGAGTAAGTACTTTTGAGGAGAGGATAATGAGGTAATCGTTGAAGCGCCTTCCTCCTGTAAGTGGACTACTTATAACCTGATCCATGAACGTTGCTTCGAGTCATTAGTCGTGTTTCTGCTCAAATCGGATGGAAATTTTTTGCAAATATTTAAGATGCTAAAACAAGAAAATAGGAATTGGACATTGTTCCATTCATTAGAAAGCGATGCAAAATATAGCATCCTTATATGTTTAGGGTAGTCTTGGATGCAATAAACAGGGACTAAAGGCAGCAAGCTAACCAGCCGACAACAGATGGGCTGAAGGTTTATTGCATGAGTTTCAGTTGGGGCAGCTGTAGTTACTTTATCATGTCAACTAGAATTAGCCATTATAGATGCAATTCAGGGACATAGAGAGTAAAGTTAATATTAGAAAATGTGTTTCAAACTCTTTTAAACCACATTTTTGCTTTTTAAAATGTCCAAAATCCCTTAAAAATTTAGTAAGTTGATTTGACTTTTACTGTTTCCTTAAATCTCTTCTAATGAAACACATCTAGTGTCATCTCCTGTGTAACTTTCTGCTTTTGCCGTGTTAATTTTTGCAAATGTGGGCAAAACTGAATGAGAATATTATAACAGTGAAAAAAGATTATTGAAGTAAAGATTGCATTAATCAAATGTCAACTTAATGTCACTAAAGAAGAAGCAGCATTTGCCTGGGTACCAATAATTCAGAACCCTGGGAAAGTCACTCTTGTACAGGGATGTGTGTGCATTCAGTTTTTATCCTTTTATCAGGATAACAGTATTATCTGCAACTATACAAACAGCCATACCCCTGAATCTCAAGCCGATGTTCCATCTGTCTGTGTAAACTTTTGGAACAATGCAGAGAACATCAAGCATGCAATTATAAATCTTATCTCTGCATCGTATAAATAAACTCAGGGTTAAACAATGCTGTCACTGGGTGATGTTCAATGGTGTTGACACTGCTGTCAGATCATCCAACGGGGCACAAAGCTGGCAGCAACAAAACTCACTCACCACAAAACAATTACACTGTCATTACCAAATAAACAAATGCCATGATATCAGGCAAAGTTTACTCTCTTCAATGCGGACCAGGAGACAATGCAAGGGCTGTTCTGTTTCTTCTTCACTGCAAAACAAGGGCATTTAGAGATGCAAACAAAGGAGACAAAAGTTCACTCCGTGCTGAAAGAGACTCAACGCTGTGCTATTATCCATGAGGATGGCTGCTCACAAAGCTTAGACAGCCAGCATCTTGCTCACAGGAAGGATATTAAAGCTTTTTTCCCAGAGTTGACAGAAGAATACAGGGAAGTGGGTTGACCCAGTGGTTTTGACCAAAAACAGCGCAGGAAACGTTAGAGTGCCAGGCTTTCAAGCAGTCCTGCTCTTTTGTGACGGATAAGATGCTGGTAGCACAAAGAAATAGTGCTTCAAGGCCGATATTGATTTTCTACCATTGTATTACTAAGAGTGCTCTTACATAAAAATAGAATTTAAAAAAAGAGATGATGGGGACAGAGTGATGGGTTTTAACACTTGCAGTCTCAACAGACATGGATGGAACCAATGATCTTTCTTTTCCATTTTGAGACACCTGCAAACATAAATGATGATCAAAGAGAGCCACCGTTTCTTTGTCCAATCGGGTTTTAGCACTAAGTATAGATATTTCACAATTTTTTTTTTTTTTTTAACACTTAGGCTTTTACAACCATCAAAAATCTACTTGAATAGTTTAGGCTGGAAATATTACCCACTTCCAGAAATGGAAGTTAGTAAGTTGGTATCTTGTTTGGACCTTTTAAGTAGTATCAAGTCAAGTCAA